GTGGGTTTGGGGGAGTTTGGGGTTGATTTTGGGGTCTTTTGGGGTATTTTGGGGTGGGTTTTGGGGTCTCTGAGGTTTTAGGGTCCCTTTTAGGGTTCATTGGCTACGCCCCTGCCCTGTGGGGGTTGGTGGAACAGGGGGGGTTTGGGGGATCTCAGGGTGGATTTGGGGGATATTTTGGGGTATTTTGGGGTGGTTTTGGGGTCTCTGAGGTTTTGGGGTCCCTTTTAGGGTTTATTGGCTACGCCCCCGCCCTGTGGGGGTTGGTGGAACGGGGGGGGTTTGGGGTATTTTGGGGTTGATTTTGGGGTATTTTGGGATGGATTTGAATGGATTTGGGGTCTCTGAGGTTTTGGGGTCCTCTTTTAGGGTTTATTGGCTACGCCCCCCTGTGGGGTTGGTGGAACGGGGGGGGTTGGGGTGGATTTGGGGTATTTTGGGGTATTTTGGTGCTGATTTTGGGGTCTTTTGGGGTGGTTTGAGTTGGGTTTTGGGGTCTCTGAGGTTTTGGGGTCCCCTTTTAGGGTTCATTGGCTACTCCCCCTCCCTGTGGGGTCTGGTGGAACAGGGGGGGGTTGGGGTGGATTTGGGGGAGTTTGGGGTTGATTTTGGGGTATTTTGGGGCTGATTTTGGGGTATTTTGGGGTAGATTTAAGTGGATTTGGGGTCTCTGAGGTTTTGGGGTCCCATATAGGATTTATTGGCTACGGCCCTGCCCTGTGGGGGTTGGTGGAACAGGGGTTGATTTTGGGGTATTTTGGGGTTGATTTTGGGGGATTTTGGGGTAGATTTGAGTGGTTTTGGGGTCTCTGAGGTTTTGGGGTCCCTTTTAGGGTTCATTGGCTACGCCCCCGCCCTGTGGGGGTTGGTGGAATGGGGGGGTTTGGGGGTTCCCAGGGGGATCTCAGGGGTATTTTGGGGTGGTTTTGGGGTCTCTGAGTTTCTGGGGTGCCCTGTAGGGTTTATTGGCTACGCCTCCCGTGGGGGTTGGTGGAATAGGGGGTTTGGGGTGGATTTGGGGGAGTTTGGGGTTGATTTTGGGGAATTTTGGGGTAGATTTGAGTGGTTTTGGGGTCTCTGAGATTTTGGGGTCCCTTTTAGGGTTCATTGGCTACACCCCCGCCCTGTGGGGGTTGGTGGAACGGGGGTGGGTTTGGGGTTGATTTTGGGGTATTTTGGGGTGGGTTTTGGGGTCTCTGAGGTTTTGGGGTCCCTTTTAGGGTTCATTGGCTACGCCCCCGCCCTGTGGGGGTTGGTGGAACGGGGGGGGTTGGGGTGGATTTGAGGTATTTTGGGGTATTTTGGTGCTGATTTTGGGGTCTTTTGGGGTATTTTGGGGGATATTTAGGCAGGTTTTGGGGTCTCTGAGTTTCTGGGGTGCTCTGTAGGGTTTATTGGTTATGCCCCCGCCCTGTGGGGTCTGGTGGAACGGTGGCACTTTCGGGACGACGACGACGATCAATTGTTCTACACCCACCTGTACCTGGACCCCCAGATCAGGGTGGGTGAGCCCCCCCAAAATCCCCCAGAAAACCCCCAGGGACCCCAAAACCCTCCTGAGACCCCGAGATCAGGGTGGGTGAGACCCCCAAAACCCCCCAAAACCCTCCTGGGACCCCCCAGATCAGGGTGGGTGAGACCCCAAAATCCACCCCCAAAAACCCCCAGGGACCCCCAAAACCCTCCTGGGACCCCCAGATCAGGGTGGGTAAGACCCCCAAAAAACCCTCCCAGGGACCCCCCCAAAACTCTCCTGGGACCCCCAGATCAGGGTGGGTGGGACCCCCAAAATCCCCCCCAAAAAAACCCCCAGGGACCCCAAAAGCCCCCAGGGACCCCCAAAACCTTCCTGGGACCCCCAGATCAGGGTGGGTGAGACCCCAAAATCCCCCAAAATCCCCCAGGGACCTCCAAAACCCCCAGGAACCCCCAGATCAGGGTGGGTGAGACCCCCAAAATCCACCCCAAAACCATCCCAGGGACACCCCCAAAAACCTCCCTGGGACCCCCAGATCAGGGTGGGTGAGACCTCCCCAAAAAACCCCCAGGGACACCCCCAAACCCTCCTGGAACCCCCAGATCAGGGTGGGTGAGACCCCAAAATCCCCAGAAACCCCCAGGGACCCCACCTCCCCAGGGATCCCCAGATCAGGGTGGATGAGACCCCCAAAATCCACCCCCAAAAACCCCCCCCAGTGGACCCCCAAAAACCCCCAGGAAGCCTCCCAGATCAGGGTGGGTGAGAACCCCCAAAAAACCCCAGGGCCCCAAACCTCCTGGGACCCCAGATCAGGTGGGTGAGACCCCAAAATCCACCCCAAAAACCCCCAGGGACACCCCCAAAACCCTCCTGAGACCCCAGATCAGGGTGGGTGAGACCCCAAAATCCACCCCAAAGCCCCAAGAACCCCAAAACCTCCCGGGACCCCAAATCAGTGGTGAGACCCCAAAATCCCCCAAAATACCCCCAGAGACCCCCAAACCCCAGGGCTAAACCCCCCAGGGACCCCCAAAACCCCAGGGACCCCAAACCCCCAGGGACCCCCAAAATCCCCAGGGACCCCCAACCCCCAGGGACCCCCAAGCCCCCAGGGACCCCCAAACCCTCAGGGACCCCCCAAAACCCCCCAGGGACCCCCAAACCCTTTTCTCCACCCTAGACCCACCCATGACCCCCAATTTATCAGGGGACCTCCAAACCCCTTTTTCCCCAGGGACCCCAAACCTCCTTTTCCTTCTTTTCCTCCCAAAACTCTCCAGGCCCCCAATTTTCTCAGGGACCCCCAAATCCCCCTTTTTGTTCCTCCCCAGGACGAGCTGGGCCTGGCCCTGGATCACCATTCCCAAATTTTCCAGAACCTCAACGGGGCCCTGGGTGGGTCTGGGGGTCTTGGGAGGTTTGAGGGGTTTGGAAGGGATTTGGGGGTCCTGGAAGGGATTTGGGGGTCCCTGGGTGGGTTTGGGGGGTTGGAAGGATTTGGGGGTCCTGGAAGGATCTGGGTGGGTTTAGGGGGTTGGAAGGATTTGGGGGTCCTGGAAGGGATCTGGGTGGGTTGGGGGGTTTGGAAGGGATTTGGGGGTCCTGGAAGGGATCTGGGGGTTTGAGGGTTTGGGGGTCCTGGAAGGGATTTGGGGGTCCCGGGTGGGTTTTGAGGGGGTCCTGGGTGGGTTTGGGGGTCCTGGAAGGGATTTGGGGGGTCCTGAGTGGGTTTGGGGGTCCTGGGAGGGTTTGGGGGTCCTGGAAGGGATTTGGGGGTCCTGGAAGGGATTTGGGGGTCCTGGGTGGGTTTGGGGGTCCTGGAAGGGATCTGGGGGGTTGAGGTGTTTGGGGGATCCTGGAAGGGATTTGGGGGTCCTGGGTGGGTTTGGGGGTCCTGAGGGGTTTGGGGATCCTGGAAGGGATTTGGGGGTCCTGGAAAGGATTTGGGGGTCCTCAGTGGGTTTAGGGTGTCCTGGAAGGATCTGGAGGGATTTGAGGGGTTTGGGGGTCCTGGGTGAGTTTAGGGGGTCCTATGGGGGATTGGAGGGTTCTGGGTGGTTTGGAGGGGCTCCTGGAGGATTTGGGTGTTCAGGGGAGGATTTGGGGGTTTCTGGGGAGGTTTGGGGGTCCTGGAAGAGATTTGGGGATCCTGGAAGGGATTTGGGGGTCCTGGGTGGGTTTGGGGGTCCTGGGTGGATTTGGGGGGGGTTGAGGGGTTTGGGGGATCCTGGAAGGGATCTGGGGGTCCTGAGATGGGTTTTGGGGATCCTGGAAGGCATCTGGGGGGTTTGAGGGGTTTGGGGGTCCTGGAAGGGATTTGGGGGTCCTGGAAGGGGATTTGGGGGATCCTGGGTGGGTTTGGGGGTCCTGGAAGGGATTTGGGGGTCCTGGGTGGGTTTGGGGGGTCCTGGAAGGGATCTGGGGGGTCCTGGAAGGGATTTGGGGGGTCCTGGGTGGGTTTGGGGGTCTCCTGGAGGGATTTGGGTGTTCAGGGGAGGATTTGGGGGTTCCTGGGGAGGTTTGGGGGTCCTGGAAGGGATTTGGGGGTCCTGGAAGGGATTTGGGGGAGTCCTGGGGAGGGTTTGGGGGGTCCTGAGTGGGTTTGGGGGTCCTGGAAGGATCTGGGAGTCTTGAGTGGGTTTGAGGGGTCCTGGAAGGGATTTGGGGGTCCTGGGTGAGTTTAGGAGGGTCCTGTGGGGGGGATTGGAGGGTCCTGGGTGGGTTTGGGTGTTCAGGGGAGGATTTGGGGGTTCTTGGGGAGGTTTGGGGGTTTGGGGGGCTCTAAGCCCTTTTACCCCAAAAAACCCCAGATGAGGTCGTGATCAAATTCGAGCCGGGCGGGAACCGAGTGCGGAACGTGAGATACGAAACCCTGCCCGTGGTGATCCATGGGAATGGGCCCACAAAGGTACCCAAAACCCCCAGAATTCACCCCAAAATCACCCCAAAATCACCCCAAAATCACCCCCAAACCCTGCCCGTGGTGATCCATGGGAATGGGCCCACCAAGGTACCCAAAACCCCCCAAATTCACCCCAAATTCACCCCAAAAAGCCTCCTGGGGCTGATCCATAAAAATGGGCCCACCAAGGTACCCAAAACCTTCCAAATTCACCCCAAAACCACCCCAAAATCACCCCCAAACCCTGCCCGTGGTGATCCATGGAAATGGACCCACCAAGGTACCCAAAACCCCCAGAATTCACCCCAAAATCACCCTCAAACCCTGCCCGTGGTGATCCATGGGAATAGGCCCACCAAGGTACCCAAAACCCTGAGAATTCACCCCAAATTCACCCCAAAATCACCCCAAAACTCTTCCTGGGGCTGAGACATAAAAATGGACCCACCAAGGTACCCAAAACCCTCCAAATTCACCCCAAAATCACCCCCAAACCCTGCCCGTGGTGATCCATGGGAATGGACCCACCAAGGTACCCAAAACCCTGAGAATTCACCCCAAATTCACCCCAAAATCACCCCAAAACTCTTCCTGGGGCTGAGACATAAAAATGGACCCACCAAGGTACCCAAAACCCCCCAAATTCACCCCAAAATCACCCCAAAACCCTGCCTGTGGTGATCCATAAAAATGGACCCACCAAGGTACCCAAAACCCCCAGAATTCACCCCAAAATCACCCCAAAAAACCTCCTGGGGCTGATCCATAAAAATGGACCCACCAAGGTACCCAAAACCCCCCAAATTCACCCCAAAATCACCCCCAAACCCTGCCCGTGGTGATCCACGGGAATGGACCCACCAAGGTACCCAAAACCCCCAGAATTCACCCCAAAATCACCCCAAAAATCCTGCCCGTGGTGATCCATGGGAATGGACCCACCAAGGTACCCAAAACCCCCCAAATTCACCCCAAAACCACCCCAAAATCACCCCCAAACCCTGCCCGTGGTGATCCATGGAAATGGACCCACCAAGGTACCCAAAACCCTCCAAATTCACCCCAAAATTACCCCAAAAACCCTGCCCGTGGTGATCCACGGGAATGGACCCACCAAGGTACCCAAAACCCCCCAAATTCACCCCAAAACCCCACCAAAATCCACTCCAAACTCTTCTTGTGGTGAACCACAGGAATGGGCCCACCAAGGTACTCAAAACCCCCCAAATTCACCCCAAAACCCCCCAAAATCCCACGTGGGTTTGCTTCATGAAGCTTGGCCCACCAAGGTACCCAAACCCCCCCAAATTCACCCCAAAACCACCCCAAAATCACCCCCAAACCCTGCCCGTGGTGATCCACGGGAATGGACCCACCAAGGTACCCAAAACCCCCTAAAATCACCCCAAAATCACCCCCAAACCCTGCCCGTGGTGATCCATGGAAATGGGCCCACCAAGGTACCCAAAACCCCCCAAATTCACCCCAAAACCACCCCAAAAACCCTGCCCGTGGTGATTCATGGAAATGGACCCACCAAGGTACCCAAAACCCCCCAAAATCACCCCAAAATCACCCCAAAATCACCCCCAAACCCTGCCCGTGGTGATCCATGGGAATGGGCCCACCAAGGTACCCAAAACCCCCCAAATTCACCCCAAAATCACCCCAAAATCACCCCAAAATCACCCCCAAACCCTGCCCGTGGTGATCCACGGGAATGGACCCACCAAGGTACCCAAAACCCCCCAAATTCACCCTAAAATCACCCCAAAACCACCCCCAAACCCTGCCCGTGGTGATCCATGGGAATGGGCCCACCAAGGTACCCAAAACCCCCCAAAATCACCCCAAAATCACCCCCAAACCCTGCCCGTGGTGATCCATGGAAATGGACCCACCAAGGTACCCAAAACCCCCCAAATTCACCCCAAAATCACCCCCAAACCCTGCCCGTGGTGATTCATGGGAATGGACCCACCAAGGTACCCAAAACCCCCCAAATTCACCCCAAAATCACCCCCAAACCCTGCCCGTGGTGATCCATGGGAATGGGCCCACCAAGGTACCCAAAACCCCCCAAAATCACCCCAAAATCACCCCAAAATCACCCCCAAACCCTGCCCGTGGTGATCCATGGAAATGGGCCCACCAAGGTACCCAAAACCCCCCAAATTCACCCCAAAACCACCCCAAAATCACCCCCAAACCCTGCCCGTGGTGATCCACGGGAATGGACCCACCAAGGTACCCAAAACCCCAAAATTCACCCCAAAATCACCCCAAAAGCCCTGCCGTGGTGATCCATGGAAATGGGCCCACCAAGGTACCCAAAACCCCCAAAATTACCCCCAAAACCACCCCAAAATCACCCTCAAACCCTGCCCGGGGTGATTCATGGAAATGGACCACCAAGGTACCCAAAACCCCCCAAATTCACCCCAAAATCACCCCAAAATCACCCCCAAATCACCCCCAAATCACCCCCAAACCCTGCCCGTGGTGATCCATGGAAATGGACCTCAGGTACTCAAAACCCCAAATTCACTAAAATCACCCCAAAATCACCCCCAAATCACCCCAAATCACCCACCCTGAGATGACCCTGTACC